CTTTGAACTGGGCTCTTGTCTGATTTCATCACATGACATCAGGCCCATATAAGTGGGCTATTATTTGTGAAAGAGGAATACAGAATATTGTATATAGTATAGTGTCTCTGCTGCTGTCATCTAACAAGACTAACTGCCCCATCTAACACGAGTGGTAGAGCTGGATAAACAGGGAGAAGTAATGGGGTGGTCAAAAATACTTCTTCATCTTTAAGCACTCAAAATCCTTACCAGGACTAGCCAAGGAATTTGAATATCAAAACTGATTCAATAGTCTAATTATGTGCATCTCCACTGCTTCTCCTTTAGCCTTTTTAGCTTATAGATCAGGGTTTTTCAATCTTTCAGATGCCATGGACCCCCCAAATATGATCATCTTTGTGCATAGGACCCCCAATCTACAATTTAAAAGGCATAGTTTCTTGTATAAAGACCCCATTTTCACTGTGAAAAATGAATATTATAAATATATCTGAAATATTATTTGGAAAGTTTTAGGATTAAGGTACTTTTTCCCCCTACTCAAAGTACTGTTAGATGCATTTATATACAGTATTTTAATCATTTTTATTTTATCTATTAAATCCTATTTTTAAATGATTAATTGATTACATTTACATTTTTTATTCTGTTTTCCTCATAGCTGGTAGCTGTTACATAATAAATGGCGACAGCATGCTTTTTTCTTATTTATTCATGATATTGCAAAATCTTTTTTAAATAGGACACGAAGAAATTGCATTTTTTAATAGTCCTATTATCCTATATCGTTATTTTCCTCCATTTTCTGTCCATGTTAGATGCTTGTTTTCTTAAAATACATACATACAGTCCGACAGGTGGCGCTGTGTTTAAGAGCTCTGTGTCTTGCTCTGCTGTATTTGCGCTGTGGCTCTAAGAGGCTGACTGTGAGTATGTTATCGGCTATTCTTTAAAACTGACGATAATGTTGATTTAATACGTAACAATGTAATATTAAATGTTGTACACCAATGTATTAAATATTCATTTAATCCAACAGTAAGTTTTCTAGGGCACTAAGAACCAAGCTAGCTGTCAGCTAACAATGAACAGATCCTGTTAGCGAATTAGCTGCCTTTTAAAACCCTTTGACAGTTTATTTAATGAATTATCTTATTCAGTATTTATTATTATTGTTAATAAAATTGAGAATATAGCTACAAATGGTTTAAAACGAAACAACACGCTTATCTTTAGATTGAAAGACTTATTTCAATACAGTTTGTGTCTTATAATATGAGTAATCTGTGTTTTAACAGCTATTATAAGTATAGAGGACTTATCTGGTGGCTAAGTGATATTTGAAGGCATCTTGGGGCTTCAAACACAAGTCAACATGAGTACTGCTGTGAGTATGCATGGCCACATGATTAGTTCTGATTACATTGAAACTATTGCTGCTGAAGGATAACAGTAATACTGTAGTAACCACTTGTGTCTCCTGTTTTTAGACCCAGAGGAAAAGACGGACATCATCTGCTACATGTTCTCGCCGTGGAAACAGCAAGAGGAACCGGACCCTGATGTCTCAAACAGCGAGGGAGACCATTGATGTGCTGGAGAGTGACCGAACTCGCAGTGAGTTTGAGCATGTTGATTTACCAGCTGTCTCCTTTGCCTCTGATTGACGATATAAGATCAAGTGATTTCACAGCCTGCAATGGTTTTGTGTAAAGACTAGAGCCCGACCGATATATCGTTTTGACGATATTATCGGCCGATATGAGCACCGATATGAATTTTTTTTTTTACAGAACATATAATGCAGATAAAATGCTTGAAATGGTGTAATTACTTAGTTTGTCCAGCAGAGCGCGCTCCATTGTTTGCTACTGGCGACCTGGATGAAACGCTTTAAAGCTTAAGTCTATGGAAAACCATTGAAACTTTGAATGGCCATATCTCCGTAACGGCGTGGCGAATCCGCACCAAATTCGGGGGATCTCTTCAGCGCAAGGAACCCTCTCAAACGCTAGTCGGGTGTACGTCTCGAGGCCCTCTTTCGAATGAGACCACCCCCCATGTCGATAGCCCCCGGGGTTCGGGAGTTACGGGTGGTTAAATTCGCGGTCCAGTGCCGACCGATCAAGCGATCCCGGGGGGCTACCGGCGCGCGGAGGGTGGCGTTCGAGAGGGCTCCTCGAGCTGAAGGGATCCCCTGAATTTGGTGGAGATCCGCCGGCGCGTTCGCGAGGTAGTGACACCAGCCAACACTTTCACTGCATTAAAGAGGTCTCTTGTTCAGGCAGCAGCATTCAAGCATTGTCTTATTCGACCGTAAGTGCCCTGCGAAGTGGACTTCACATGAAATTCCGCCATTATTCCAGTTCCAAGGGAACGTACACGTTACATTCAAAGGGTATTAAAGTGTGCAAGACGTGAATTTATATTGTATTTATTTACAGAGGTAGGGGAGAGTGGGGCACAAAGTAACACTTTTTGACTTTCTCAGTTTGTGTAAATCCACATGGGTTTCAGAATATATATATATATTTTTATCCACAGTAATTTTACACTTGTCTAGTACAAATATGTCGCTTTGTTTCATTATTACAGTGTATACGTTTTTCTTTTATTTACCCTCAAAAAATGGAAGTGAAATGTGACAACATGCCCCGTAGGTGGAACACATGTAACATCTGAGGGGCACGTTGTAACTTGACCATATGACGGCTTAAAATCGTGTCTGATCGAATGAAAAAAATATACAAGACAAACTATAATATTTAGTTAATTAATAAATAAATATATATATTATTTTATATATATTATATTTTTCAAATAAAATAATGGCGTTTTTTAAGAATGAAAAATAATC